AAATGTAGAAGTTTTGCATACGCTAATTATAGAACTACATTGTAATTTCATCTCGGCAAGCGGGACGAAATACTCCATATGAACGCACGGAAATATTCATCTCGGTAAGCGAGACGTCCCGGCAAGCGGGATCATATGAACAGGCCCTAAAGCTTGGATGATGCAAATCGAAAATTTGCATAGTACGACCAGCTGAGCCACCTGCATCTATGTAGGTATGTAACCCCCACAATTATGTCATTGTCCTAATATAACTGAAGGCATCATGTTCTATTTATTGGAAGATTGGCTTAGCTTGCAAGAATGGGAAGACTTTAGTTCGAATTAAACCACTACAAGGAAGAACTTAATTCCAGGAAAACAGCAACAAGTGAACTTCCTGGCATTTAAAAACAGCACAAGCAAATTAAGACTGCCTTGAAACAAGATTTCGACGAAAATTTGGACGATCGAAAATTGATAATTGAAATTGCTTATGTTGTCAAAAGTGTGGTAGCAAATTTTGAAAACAAAACAAATCCATCCGTGTCAGAACACGTCTCCCCTGCGTCCCGCATCATTGGATTTAAGCCGGTTAAAATATCAATACCAGGAAGTGTCAGACATCATATACACAAAACACTTCAAACAAGCAAGACCTCAAGCTAGAATATTTTGATTTATATTAATAAGATGGCAGCCAGCGAAATGCCAAACGAACCAGCGCGTCAATTGTTAGCAGTAGGTGAAGAACTCGAGGCAAATTTTGATGCCATTGCCAAAAGAACAGAAATCACTACTGAAGCCGGAAGAATAGTTCGCTCGTTCGGCAACTTGTTAAACACCAAACCAACGGTGGAACGCTACCAAGACGACAGAGCAGAAAGATACAGCCAAACTAGCCGGCTAAATCGATTAATACAAGCGATTGATGATACTTTAAAATGGCTGGAACACAGCGGCCAAACGTATGGGAAAAAGCAAGAGCAAGTTCTGCGGGCTCTGTATAATTTAACAGGTAGGCGCCCGAATTATTTATATTGCTGTAAATTTTAGACTGTATTATAGAGACATTTCAGATAGCAAAGCAATCCGCGTCCCCAGTTCATGTTACCAGGTGTACCTTCATCATGTACGTCATCTTACAATGAATTTGCTTGGTTCGCGAGACGGGCAAATTATCCCGCGAAGAACAGAGAATATGGCCAGGGGAAGCACATTTCTTACTAAATCCACCCCCTCCCTACAGACCCTTCTTATGCATAGGTATATATCTTTGTTTTCATAAATATTTGGACATATAGAGGCATAACAGAAATATACATTCTAAATAAAAAGAATAGAACAGGGAATAGGAAATATGGCCGGGGGAGCAAATTGCTTAGGAAATCCCCCCTCCCCACTTATGTATAGGTATATACTGTATGTTTGTTTTCATAGATATTAATTTGGACATATAGAGGCATAACAGAAATAATTTTAATTAAAAAAAGTGTAACTAAAACAATTTCGACACATTTTAAAAGAATTCGTCCGACCTTGTAGTATACTAGGACGGACGATCCGTCTCACCATGATCAATCTTGACCAGGGGTTGAAATGACTGCAGGGGTGGCACCAAGGGTGTGTGTGGAGGTGGAACACCCCCAGTCGTCAGGTAGTCGGCAAATTATTGAATCCCAGTCGGCAAATTGTTTTCGTATTCGGCAAAACACGAATTGGATAGGAAGGGAAAAATCTAAAAACTAAAAAAACTTTTGTAATTTGCAGAGACTCCTCCTCCAAAATTGATCAGGAAAAAGAAATGTTAATTAGTGGTTCAAATGACTCGGCAAATTTCGCTTACACCACCCCATTCAAATAGGGCTAGCACTTAGCCTGAATGACCGGGCGCGCCAATTCGCCAAATTTTTTTTCGTCTGGCGACTAGATATTTACTTAAAGGTATCCTTGTGGTGACTGAGAAAAAATCTTAAATGATAAATTCATTCTTAAGACTTAAAATATCTATATTGTTCAAAATTATTTCATTCCGCTTTTTCGGAAAAATCCCAGGGCATATTAAATATAAACAACTGTTTTTTACGACGCATCTTTTTCTTTACCTCATATAGAGCTTGGCAACCACGCTCATCTTTTTGCCATAATGGAGTTGGCCTGTGCGTGCCTCAACACACCCGAGGATCCGTTTCCCGGCCAACGTCAATATATTGTCCAATGCCATGAAGATGTCAAAATGCAACAGGAACAAATTGCCTCTTTGGTGGAACAAGCCAGTGGTCTGATGAACGAAATCCTGCAACACAAAGAAGTTGATTATTTGAAAGGGAGACAGTTTGACAACGTTGTCAGAGAAGCTACGGTCCTTATTGAATCGTGCAAACGTCGGCTCAATGGCGCCGAGCAAGCAATTTCTGAGCTTTCACAAAAAATGAGCTCAGTGAATTGGGCCTCGCGTGCTATACGTGCAACAGGTACATGTCTGTCTCGACAATTATCAAACGTATTAACAACCTCGTATCCACGGCCTTTGCGCGGTTCAAAGGCTCTGGTAAAAGAAGCAAAGGGCCAAAGGCCCTGGGTACGAGGTTGACGTATTATGAAATCCAAGAATAGGAAAAATTGTGGGACAAATATAATGGACATTGCCAAGGGCAAATTGATTAAATTTTGGTTAACTTTGCAAAACAAGTGCAACACAAGCGCAAAGACATACTACTTTTGAATAAATGCCAAAGCTTACGAGTCCGAACAAACTAACAAATATAAAGCAATACCTAAATACACTCTTTCGATAATTACGTCACAACTACACAGTTTTCAACTTAGAATAATAATAATGGAACCACCTTAAATGGAAAGGATTTCAAGTTTTTTTTCTCATGAGCTATGGGCAGAGAAGCAGAACATCTTTCTTCAACACATGCATGCACACATGCATTTTGTATTTTGATCAAAAAATGTAGAAAAAAGCTTTAAAACGAAAACGAGGCTGCAGGTCATGACTTTTGTGTCGAAGTCATTAGTTCCACGCTACCACTCAGGAAACAAAGAAATACGCTACGATTAAAGTGGAAAACTGCCTTAATGGACCTTTCACCTTTTGACTAGAATTTAGATCTCAACAAGTCTAGACAAAAATTTTATCACAGCTTGAAAGAGCATCACAAAATTCGTAATATTCCAAAGTTTCATTGCGAAATGTTGTAAAATGCGGATAATATAGCCTTGCGAAGTTTGCCATTTTCAGTCATTTTGTATTACGCGCGGGAA